GTAAATTTTGGTCAATGACATGAGACAAAGTATATGTGAACTGCTGTATGAAAAGTGAATTTACTCTGTAAATCTTCACCCAAATCCTAATTAAAAAAATATATATATTTTTTTCTTGGCCCCAATGATAATTGTATGCCGAGACTCAGAAAGCACAGTTTGTAAACTTGTGAAAATAGCAGACTTCCAAGGATAAGAATGTTGGCTTAATGGAATTAAGGAGGTTTGAAGGCAATCTCTGCCATCTCCACAAGTTTGCATGAAGAGGCTGTGTCCTTCCACAACAGCCCCCAGTCAGAAATAAGCCCAAAGCTGGGAAGGTCAGGGGGCTAATTCAGAGCTTCCCCAGAAGGAACAGGATTTGGTACAAGGAGTAAAAAAAGGGGCTCAGCTACTAACTGAAAAGTTGGTCATTCAAATCAGTGCAAGGCATCTCAGAGGAAAGGCTGACTATGCTTCTGAAAGATCACAGCCATTGAAAACCCCATGGAGCCCAGCTCTACTCTGCCACACATGGAGTCGCCATAAATTGGAATTGACTTGACGGCAATACTGCTCTGGTTTTTGAAAGAGGAACAAAACAGCTGTGAGTTACTGCCCAATTTGGGTTAGAGCCAACTCTGACTGCTTCTTGTAGAACCATCTCTTCTATATACCTTTGTTGCTGAGCCCTGATTGATCCTGAATAACAACAACAATAAACAATAGTTACTTTTTATTGAGCACTTATTAAATACTTTACATACATTACTCATTTAATCCTCACAACAGCCCTATTTTTCCTCACTTGCGCATGAGAAACTTGAAGCTTATTGAAGTTAAGCTGCTTGTCTAAGGTCACACAGCCCAAAATGGCAGAGCTGAGATTCAAACTCAGATCTTTCTGAATCCAGAGTTGCCTTAAAGCCTACAACTCCTGGGGCTTCTTCTCAACTTCCAAACTGCTGTCTTCCCCCTCCTAGCAAGCTTGACCCAGAAAGAAACCCCTTCCAGCCACTGCAGCCCCCTGACAAGAAAACATACTTCTGAAATTATCTAACACTATGCCTGGGGTAATAGATTTTTACTTATTCGAATAACCTCACACCCTTCCAAAACCCTGCCAAGGCAACTTACAAATATGCATAGAGTACAGCAGGCACATGGTAGCCTGCTCAGTGAAGGTTTGGTTGGGATCTGCTCCAGGGAGAGGTTGGTGAGTGAGATCATTGGTGGAGCAACCATTCTGCAGACATTGAGGAACAGAGATGCACCTACAGAGAAAGATAATTGTGGTTCCCCTGGGCCTTCTTACCTATTATACCAATTCCTGAGGGCTGAGAAATGTGACCCACAGCCAAGAATCCTGTTTTCTGCCCTGATGACAACAGGAAGGATTTGCCTGGAGCCCCAGGGATTCCTCCCATAGAGTCACTGTTGAATACTTTTCTGTTCAACAAAATTGGGCTCATTTGTCAATAGCCACTTGACAAAATTGCTATTCAGCTTTATCTGTAATATGTTAATAAAACTTTGATCTACAAATGCTCTGTTTTTATAAAGATAGTCCTTTAAGAATGTAGGGACATCTAGCATGGGGTGGGAAAATGTTTTCCAAGGGTGCAAATTATAAATACTTGAAAAACTTTTCTAAAAAAATTTCTCATGTGTACTTACAGTCTGATCTAGTATTCTGAATACGTCCTCTTGATATGAATTCATCAGTGATATTTTTCTTTTCCCTTTAGTGGAGAAGGCTACTATCCGACCAGCAAAAAGCATGGACTCATTGTGCTCAGTGCCTGTGGAAGGTGAGATTTTACAATTAGTCTCTGAACTGGCTGTGGAATTGGAACTCATACTCAGACTTGCCTTTATTAACTGCTATGTCTGTCATCCCAAGTTACAATCACGTACAATCCACCAGTCCCAAGTCCTTCCCTGACCCTTCCTGAACTCAAGGCGTTCACGTGGGCCTTGCATAACCTTCCCTGCTCTACCTCAGGGCTGGCCCCAGAAAAGATTTCCCCTTAGCTGGCCACAAATGGAGAACACAGGTACTTTGCATTCAAACCTGAACCAGGTAAAGCATCAGCATTCGAAAACTAGGGCAGAAGAGCCTTCTCTTTGGTCATAAAGGAAGAACCAAGCATTGGTTTATAACTCATGATTCTGTCTGTGCCTAGATGCTTATGTGTCTTGAATCTGGATGTTCTGTAGGCATTAGTTTCATCATGCTTGTCAAGTCAGCATTTTGGATTGGTAAATTCATTCGTTCATTTATCAGTAAACATAGCTTGAGCACCAGCTATGTACCAGATACTTGTAAACAATGACATCCTTTGTTGAAGTAAGATGTATGTAGATTTGCACGTGAAGTGACACCTATCACCAAAACGGCACCCTACCACATTGTGTTCTCATAGGTGTAACCTTAAGGACTAACTTGCCTGTACCTCTCACTTCTATTTTTGTTGAGTGACCAACAAGTACCATTACAAGTTACAAGGCAAAGGGCTTCCCTGACAAACTACTGGAACTCCCCCATGGTTATGCCATGACTTCCCAACCCTTTTAATATGAGACATTTTTCTCTTTAATAAATGAAGTGGCCTGAAATAATATAGAAAATCTTTTTTAAAATTAATATACATTTATCTAAGGTATTCATTTCTTCTTTTTTTAATTTTTATTGTGATTTGGGTAAAAGTTTACAGAGCAAATTCATTTTTCATACAGCAGTTCATACATATTTTGTCTCATGACATTGACAGCAATTCCCCACAGTGTAACAGGTCTCTTCCCACTTTCTTCCCGAAGTTACCTCTTTCCCTGTGTCCTTCCCTCCCGCCCCCACAAGCTGTCTCCCTGTGCAAACACTGCCCTTCTTTTCTCCCACAATTGATCGTTCCAAGGAGTGTATCTACCTGATGTAAATGGTCACCCCATATGCCTGTCTGTTGCTTGGCTGGAAGCCACAGGCGTGATATTAGTTCCAGACCTGACGGGTAGCTACAGGCCATAGTCTCAGGAGTCTCACCAGGCTCTTAGACCAGCAAACCTAGTCTTTTTTTTCCTTAATGATTTTGAATTTTGTTCCACATTGTTCTCCCACTCTATTCAGCCTCTATTTCATCAGTCCCCCTTGTTGTGGTTACCTAATGCCGCTGTGACAAGAATATACCACAAATGGGATGGCCTTAACAAACAGGAGTTTATTCTCTTACAGTTCGGGAGGCTGGAAGTCCGAGTTTGAAGTGCCAGGCTCTAGGGGCTGAAGGTTTCAGCTCTGCCTCTTGCTCCCAGCCCACTGAAGCTAGAGGCATCTCTTCACTTAGGCAGTTACTGGCTGCTGAGGCTAACAAGCCCAAGGTGGAAAAATAAAATGGCACAGCCCTGATGTTACCAAACCACATGGCAGACCATTAACTCAAGTCCATTGTAAGTCCCAAGGTCAACAGAGCATGGCAGGCTGCTGAACAACAACACAGCTACATGCAGGGTTCAAGCATACCATAAGCTAGAGACCATTCCCAAAGCTATTTCTTATACACATGAAGCAGACCACCCACCCAAAGACAGCTACTCAGTTGCTCACAGTAGATTCCACCATGGAGTTGATTATGAGTCTCATCATGAGCTTCCCAGCCACTCAACCAGGCCTAGTCAAGTTGACACACAAACTTAACTACCACACCCCTCTGAGTGGTTGACAGTGGTAGCTGGGCACCATCTAATTCTTCTGATCTCATGGTCATGTGGGAGCTCTGGTGGCATAGTGCCTGAGGCATTTGACTGCTAACCAGAGGTTGGTGGTTCAAACCCACCAGCCATTCCTCAGAAGGAAGGTTGTATGCTCTGCTTCTGTAGAGATACTGCCTTGGAAACCCAAGGAGGGGTCGCTATGATAGGGACCAACTCGATGGCAGTGGGTTTTGAGATTTTTTATGGTCATATATGCTGATGATCACATGGTCTAGCAGTCCCTTGGATTAATTGTTTCCATGTGTCTTGGGTTGTCTTCATTTTTCTTTGCCCTGGACGAGGAGAGACCCATTTTGCATCTAGATGGCCTCTTGCAAGCTTTTAAGATCCCAGTCACTACTCACTAAAGTAGAATGTAGAACAGTGTTTTTCTGTAGTATGTTATGCCAATTGAGGTTGATGCCTCTGCAACCATGGTCCCATGCCCTCAGGTCCAACTACTCACTCTCTCAGGGCAGTTGGCTGTGGCCAAGAAGCCACCACAACTTTGCCCCTTGCCAGCTCTACTATACAACTGTTGTTATTGTTTTTATGTGCCGTTGAGTCAGACCCGACTCATAACGACCCCTCCTTGGGTTTCCGAGGCAGTATCACTACGGAAGTAGATTGCCCCATCTTCCTTCCAAACTATACACCTGGACATTCTTATATTCTAAATTCTCACTGCCGTCGAGTTGGATCCAACTTAAAGTAACTCCACCTTGGGTTTCCAAGGCAGTGTCACTATAGAAATAGATTGCCCTATCTTCCTTCTGAGGAGAGGCTGGTAGGTTTGAACTGCCAGCCTTCTGGTTAGCAGTCAAATGCCTTAGGCACTATACCACCATAATACGCATGTAGAAAGATTGTCTGCTAACCCTATACATGGTCCTGGGCACACTCCCCCCTGCATAGACATACTTGATCATTCAACCTGTCCACCCATCTACCCACCCACAGAGCAATGCTTGCCATCACTGACAACACAGTACTGAACATGAATAAGAATTCATCTTTGTTTTCTGTACCTCCCATGTATCTTTCTATGTCTTCCTCTTCTTCAGTGCCACTATGTTGATCTCTCACATTTTGTGCATTGCCTTTCCCTTCACCCAAGTCAATACTTGTCTCCACCTATCTAGCAGTGTTCTCTCCCCTCCCTTCCCACTCCTGTTAACCAGCAAAGAAAGTTTCCTTCCATATATAAACCTTTCCTTGACTTTTTACAATAATGAACTAATACAATATTTGTCCTTCAATACAGAAAATCTTTAAAGCAACTTAGATAAAAAAATTCCAAACTAATAATCAGTGATATCTTTTTAAGCTGACTTGATACTTTGAACATTTTCTCCCATCTTTATATTCATCCATTTGCTTTGGATTTGAATCTCCCTGCCAAGATTGTCAAGATTTGATACTTTAAAATCTAGGTTACTATTTCTGTGAATGCCGGACAGGTCACCTAATCTCTCTGAGCCTGAGACTCCTCACATGGTAAAAGAGATAATTACACTTAGTGATAGGGTAGGTGTAAGAATTAAACATGTTGTTTGGTGCCATCAAGTCAATTTTGACCCATAGTTACCCTGTGCACAAAAAAATGAAACACTGGCCAGTTCTGCACCATCCTCACAGTCATTGCAGTGTGTGAGCCCATAGTCACAGCCACGGTGTCAGTACATCTCGTTGAGGGTCTTCCCTATTTGTGCTAACCCTTTGCTTTACCAAGCATGATATCCTTCTTCAGGGACTGGTCCCTTCTAACAACATGACCAAACTATGAGAGAGAAAGTCCTTGGGGAGCATTCCAGCTGTACTTCCTCCAAGACAGATTTGTTCATTCATTGTATCCATGGTACATTCACTAGTCTTTGACAACACCACAATTCAGATGCATCAATTCTTCTGTGGTCTTCCTTGTTCATTTTCCAGCATTTGCATGCATATGAGGCAATTGAAAATACCATGGCTTGGGTCAGATGCACCTTAGTCTTCAAAGTGATGTCTTTGCTCTTAAACACTTTACAGAGGTCATTTGCAGCAATTTGCACAATGCACTACATTGTCTGATTTCTTCACTGCTGCTTACACGGGTGTTGATAGTGGATCCATGTAAAATGAAATCCTTGACAACTTCAGTCTTTTTCCATTTATTGTGATGTTGCTTATCAGTCTGGGTGTGAGGATTTTTATTTTCTTTATGTTGAGGTACAAACCATATTGAAGGCTGTATTTTTTTGTTTTTTGGGGTTTTTTTTTAGTTTTTATTGTGATTTGGGTGAAATTTTACAAAGCAGATTCTTTTTATATTCACTTGTTCATAAACATTTTGTTTTGTTACACTGATTATAATCCCTACAGTGGAACAGCTTTACTCCCAGTTCCTCCCTGTAGCCACCTTATCCCTGTGTCCTTCCCACCTATGCATTCCTGGCTCCCTAGTTTTCTCTCCTGTGTAAGTGCTGCCCTTCTGATTTCCCATGGTTGATTTTTCCAAGGAGTGCATTTCCTTGGTTTAGTTGTTCACCTCGTAGGCCTATTTATTATTTGGCTGAAAGTTAAGCCATGGGAGTGAGTTAAATTCCAGGCCCAGGAGTAATCCTGGTCTTGTTAAAAAATTTTGTTCTGTATTTTTATTTCACTTTATCCAGGATCTCCAATTTTGATCCTTTTCTGAGTGGTTGGTAGTGGCAGCTGGGCACCATCTAGTTCTAGTTTCAGGGTCATATAGGTTCTCATGATCCATTAATCCTTTAGACTATGAAGGGCTATAGTCTTTGATCTTCATCAGTAAACACTTCAAGTCCTCTTCACTTTCAGCAAGCAAGGTTGTCATCTGCATATAGCAAATTGTTAATGAGTTTTCCTCTAACCCTGATGCCATGTTCTTCATATAGCCCAGGTGCTTGTATTATTTGCTCAGCACACAGAATGAATAAGTATGGTGAAAGGATAACCCTGATGCACATTCTTCTGGATTTTGCATCACACAGTATCCCCTTGTTCTGTTTGAACGACAGCCTCTTAGTCTATGTACAGGTTCCCATGAGCACAATTAAGTATTCTGGAATTCCCATTCTCTACAATGTTATCCTTAATTATTTATGATCTACACAGTTGAATGCCTTTGCACAGTCAATAAAACACAAGTAAATATATTTCTGGTATTCTTTGCTTTCAGCCAAGATCCATCTGACATCAGAAATTATATCCCTAGTTCCATGTCCTCTTCTGAATTCAGATTGAATTTCTGGCAGTTCCCTGTCAATGTGCTGTTGCAACCATTTTTGAATTATGAATTAAATGTAACACTACATAAAATGCCCAGCATAATACTTAGTATTTAGTAGAAAACTACTTTCCAGATCCCTGGCAATTCACTTATTATCTCCCAGCTTCTTTATTTCCCATAAAGACTTTTCTCCTTTGCCATCACTTCTAAGTCAGTGAAGAACTCACTCCTCACAAAAATGCTTTCTAACATTTAGTTAATTCACACTTCTAGTCTCTCATCCTCTGAATCAGCAGGAGGAAGCCTGAGGGAAGGGGGAAAAAATGTCTACCTAAGAATGGCATTTGTTTCCTTGCTGAAAAATCAAACCTCTGTCTGGATCCATCTGCCAAAAAGACTTAAAACTAAAACACAATTCTGATGTGTTGCCCTTTTTTTTCCCCCTCCATCATTTTGAGCAAACATCAGAATCTCCCATCTATCTTTTTATTACTTCATGATCTACATTTAATGTTTTGCAAATGACAGCTCTATTCAGCAACCTTAGCAGCAGATTTCTTTTGGAAACTGCTCTACCTGCAAAGTTTAAAACTGATTCCATCTGGTACAACAGCAAATGGTCCTATCACGGCACCATCCCTAGGAGAAAACACTTCCTCTCTTGTTAACTGAATGACATGTATCTACCTTTATTAGAATGATTGTGCCCTTATTAAGAATCTCTGGGTGGCGCAAATGGTTAAGTGCTTGACTACCAGCCAAAAGATTGATGGTTCGAACCCACCCAGAGGTTCCTCAGAAGATAGGCCTACTGATCTGCTTCCAGAAGGCCACAGCCTTGAAAACTCTATGGAGCAGTTCTACTCTGCACACATAGGGTTGTAACGCATGGGAATGGGTGACAACCAACAACAATGATAATGCTGTTATCTAAATTGCTGTGCCTTCTGAAGGGAGCGCTGGTGGTGTAGTGCCTAAGGCATTTGACTACTTACAAGAAGGCTGGCGGTTCAAACCCACCAGCCACTCCTTGGAAGGAAGGTTGGGCAATCTGCTTCCATAGTGATACCCCCTCAGAAACCCAAGGAGGAGTTGCTATGAGTCAGGTTCAACTTGATAGCAGTGTTTGGTTTTTTGGTTTGGTATGCCTTCTGAATATTCAAATGCTGTGTGTCTGCCCTTAAAAAGAAGGCTGTGCAGTTTTGTGTGCTTCCAGGCTGCTGACCATGTGCTTATTCTTCTTATTAGGAAAAGAAACCAAAGGAAATTTCAATCGAACAGTTACCACTGGTGGATTTTTCATTCCAGCAGCGAAAATGCACTCGAGTGGCACTGGTAGCTCGTGTGACCTCAGCAAGCAGGAGGGCGAATGGGGCAATGAGGGGATGCCTGCCGGGGCGGAAGGGGGTTTTGAAGTGAGCGGTGACCGAAGCCAGCTCCAGGGTGCTCAGATCCGGCCCCCACCTGAGCAGCTGAAGGTGTTCCGGCCTATCGAGGATCCTGAGAGTGAGCAAACAGCCCCAAAGATGCTGGGGATGTTCTATACCTCCAATGACAGCTCCAGCAAATCTGTCTTCACCAGCAGCCTCTTCCAGATGGAGCCTTCGCCCCGCCACCAGCGCAAAGCCCTGAACATCTCCGAGCCCTTTGCTGTATCCGTACCACTCCGGGTGTCAGCTGTCATCAGCACCAATAGCACGCCATGCAGAACACCCCCTAAGGAGCTGCAGTCTCTTTCCAGCCTGGAAGAGTTTTCTTTCCAGGGGTCAGAGAGTGGAGGATGGCCTGAAGAAGAGAAGCTACTGGGAGCTGAGGCTTTGACAGGTAAAGTAGGGAAAGAGGGTCTCTTTCCATTATAAGAGATCAAAACCAGACCTAAATGTACTTAAACTGAGTTTGCAAGGCAGTGTAAGGAAGTGGTTAGGATGTAGGCTCTGGAGCCAGACTAGCTGAGTACAAACCCAGGATTGGCCATTTTTCTGTATGATCTTCTGCCAGTTAACAGGAGTCTGTGCCTCAGTTTCTTAATCTGTAAAATGTAAATAATGATGTCAATTAATCTTACCTTCTTCACAAGTTTGTTGCAAATATTAAATTAATGAATACTTACAGAACGGTGTCTAATACATAGTAAGTACTCAGTAAATGTTATCAGTCATTATTTTGTTCACTCACCTAGTGAGGAGGTAGGAGGGAAAGCTCACAGGATATAATTGAGAGCTTTAGAGCTGGAATTGGAGACTCAGCTCTTATCTCTGTCTTCTCTCAACTCAGTCTCTCTCCATTCACTCATCCTTAACTTCTACCTCATATATGCAGAGAACATGGCTGACCACAGCCTTAGCCTAGCAAACTTAGCAATGAAGAGTACATCTTCCTCCCAATTTCCTTTATCAAAGGCAGGGAGGACTCTGATTGGGCCTACTTGAGTCACTTGCCCAGCCTTGGACCAATCACTCTTGCCAAGCTAGTAATTTACTAAGATTGGGGCATCTTAAGTTTCTGGATCATCTCTGGAATGAGGAAGAATTCAATGAAACGTGAGCCCCATGGAATGGAAGTAAGGAGAACCCAAAGAAAGTATGGCTGGCAGACAAACCAACAAATGCAAATGCAAATTATGATTTCCAGTTATTTTTCAATTAATAATAACTATTAATAATAACTAACTTTTTTGAGCACCTGTCAGTCACTGTCCTAAGTGTTCTGTATGTATTATCTCTTTTCTCCTCACAACAAATCACGACGTCTAGGTTGTTGTTATTATCATCCTCATTTACTTAGAGAGGATAAGTAACTTGCCCAGTGACTTAGCAAGGAAGCGGAAAAACCAGAATTTGAATTTGAATTTTAAAACCCATGCTTTTAAGCACTCAGTCATGCTCTATCACAGGTTTACTATAGGCAAAACCCTCCACAAAGAGGTACAAAGATTGTTAAGACATGATCCCTGCCCCCAATGAGCTCAAGAAATGGACTGAAGTGCTCCTTGGGCTTTTCGGAATGAGGGAAGGTTTAGATGCCTGAAATATCAAGAAAGAGCCATTCAGAAAAGACTGCAAGGGTATGGATGAGAGGCAGTCCTCAAGAGGATTTCAGGAAGATTTCTCAGAAGAAGAGACGTTTGTGTTGGATCTTGATAAATGGATAGGATTTCTCCATGCAGAAGAAGCAGGAGAGGGCCATTCTGGGCTGAGAAGCAGCAGATGTGGGAAGTGTATATGTTTTGGATCCCAGCTGACTTGATTCGGATCCTGAAAGCGTGAAAGTGGGCAGTTAACTGATGTCTCTGAGTCCACTGCTCATCTGCAAAGCAGGAGTAGTTCCTATCTCAAGAGCTGTGGGGAGGATTGAATGGGAGGGTGGCCAGCATGCCTACCCATGGTCTGGCTCAGAGCAGATGTTCAGTATATATTAGTCCTTTTTCCCTCCCCTTTCCTGCCTTTAATTGTTTTTCTTTTTACTCACTGCTACTGCACAAAAGAAAGAAAAACAAAATAATTTATTAAGGAAGATCAAGTTCACCATTTGGAATGATTATAAAGGGAGAAAAGAAACTTTAAGTTAATCCCATCAGAGAGAAGGGTGAGGAGACCTGTTGTTCCTGAACCTTTTGGCATCTCCCTTTGACCTTTGGTTCTAGATGCAGTATCCTCAACTGCCCCAATGGCCCTACTAATCCAGCGATGTAGGCTGGCACCTCCATTAGTGTCTCTCCCAGGCCAATTTAATAGACTGGGTGGCACAGTGGTTAAGTGCTTGGCTGCTAATGGGAAGGCTGACAGTTCAAACTCACCAGCTACTCTGTGAGAGAGAGAGGTGGCAGTCTGCTTTCATAAAAATTACAACCTTAGAGAAACGTTTTAGGGCAGTTCTACTCTGTCCTATGAGTCGCTATGAGTCAGAATCAATTCAGTGGCACACAATATTCTTCATTACAGAGAAAGGCAAAAATTAATGGACTGTCTCCCAATGACTCCTTGGGCTCAGGGTCTCTCTCTTTTGTAGATCCTCCCCCATCCCTTATCCTGCTACACCCACATCAGCCCACAGCCATTCTCCAAACAAGGCATTATTTGGGTTTTTGCTCATTTTGTGGCCCTGCAGGAAAGAGTAGAGGGAAGACAGCCTTCACATGGTGTCTGTCTTCCCCCATGTATGTGTACCTCTATGTCTAATCTGCCCTTCTTAGAATTCAGAAGTAATTAAGATTTAGAACCCACCATACTTAAGGTATTTAGAGCTCTGGTGGCGTAGTGCCTAAGTCATTTGACTGCTAACCAGAAGGTTAGCGGTTCAAACACACCAGCCACTCCGCAGAAGGAGGACTGGGCAATCTACTTCCATAAAGATTTACTGCCTCGGAAACCCAAAGGGGGTCACTGTGAGTCAGAATTGGCTTGATGGCAATGAGGTTTTTTTTTTTTAAAAAAAAAAAAATACTTAGGTATGGTCTAATTAACATAACAAAGACAACTCTATATCCAAACAATATTACATCCACATGTATAGGTGTTAAGATTCCAACACATATTTGAGGACATAAATTTTAATTCACAACATTCTCTGTATACTAATATGGCATGGATTTCAAGATGTGCTGTTAAGTGAAAAAATGCAAAGCATAGAACAGTATGTATCATCTGTTATATTTTATGTAATAAAGGTGGGAAATAATGATATATGCAGTGTAACTAACTGCTTATATTTTCAAAAATAAACTTGGGAAGAATAAACCAGAAATTAATAAAAATGGTTATCTATATGGGATGGTGAGAAATTGTGGAAACAACAGGGATGAAAGTAGAACCCCTCTTAAAATATTTTTTTAAATATAATCTCAGCTTTTGAACTCTAAATATTTTGCGTATTTAGAAATAAAATTAAACTTCACACAGCAAGCCTACTATTGATGGGCAAAGGGGAACAGCACCGTTGTTGATTAGGAGGCATTATTAGCACAAACATCAGGATACTATCACTGAATCTGGCCGAGTTTCAGGCTGGCTTCAGGTTGAAACACCTTGGAGTTAAGGCAGCAGAGTAACCAGTGACACTGGCTTTTCAACCAATAAACTCTTCTGAGCATTTAGTGCATATCAGACACTGAACTAGATGCTTGTCTCCATTATCTCACAACAGCCCTGCAAAGCATGTGTTATTATGCCTTTGGACTAAGATTACAAAATTCAATGAGAAACTAGAATTTGAACCCAGGTTTAATTCCAGTGCAAATAATAATAACATTTATTGCAGATCTGCTGTGTGCCAAGCACTATTATAGGTACTTAGTCTTTAATCCACACTGGAAAACATCTCACACAGTGAAATAGGGCCTCCCTTCATGTAAGGCAATGGAGACCAGATCAGGATGCCTCTTCCAGACCTTGTTAGATGTGTAAAATCAGAGCTTAATTACTCAAATATATACAAATACATACAAACTGAAGTGAGATAACCCTTGGGAGGGGTCACACAGGAAGCAGTCAATCATAATCATCATATATCTTTACACCTTGGTGTGAATAGCAAATCTGAGTGTTCTTGGGCACCAAGCTTGACTTCTCATGATCTCAAGTTTCTTTATCTGTGAAGTGAAAGTTTGGACTATAGCAGGGTTTCTCAACCTCAGAATTATTGACATTTGGGGCCAGATAATACTTTGTTGTGTGGGTCCATTCTGTGCATTATAGGCTATGTAGCAGCATCCATGGCCTCTACCCACTAGATCCCTATATAGCACTACCCTTCTCTCCCCAACCCCCAGTCATGACAGCCAAAACTGTCTACAGACTTGCCACATATCCTATGGGGGAGGAGGGCTCCTGATTGAGCACCACTGGACAAAGTAATCTTCAAGATCTGTCCCAGTTCTGATAGTGTGTGACTCTGGGATCTGAAGACAGGACATTGCTAAGAGGAAAGGGAACTCTTTCCATCCTTGCAAAGCATGTCTGGTCCATGACAGTAACAGTGCTGGGAATGGTCTCTCTTGCAATGAAGTCTCCTTCAACTGATAACTCCCATCCTCATTGCAGCTTCTACACCTAAGAAGACAGCTCCTGAGGATGCCACACTAGCACCTGAAGCAGCGGGACCAGTGGAATGCAGCAAAGGCCTTTTCCTGGAGTCAGGCATCCAACTGGAGAAGAAACCCTTGGAAATCTCCCTGGGCTGTCAACAATCAAATGAATTAGAGAAAAGGCTGGATCCAGAGAAGGTGGTGGAAGAGGGTCAAGAGGCTGGCCAGCTGGAGCCCAGTGCTCTGCAGGAGAACCCGAGAGTCAGAGCTGAGGCCATGTTTCTCCATGAAATGGTAAGGTGGACTCGCTGCCTGGTCTAACCAGGTACATTCTTGTTTTTCCCAAGGGCTCTTGGTACAGCTTAAAGTAGTCTTTTTTTTTCTTTTTTTTTAAGAACAAAACAGTTTCTGCCAAAGGGACTTTAGGAGACAACCTTCTAATCTGGTCTGGGATTTTTGCCATGGACTTTTCAGAGGAATCATCCAGCTCAGATTCCCTAGGAATAAACTCTAAATATTTCTGACCTGAAGTCACTATAAACCAATAACATGTCTTTGGAATGTAATAAGAAGCTCTGGTGGTATAGTGGTTAAGACATTTGGCTGCTAACCAAAAGGTCGGTGATTCAAACCCACCAGCCATTCCATGGAAGAAAGACAAGGTAGTCTGCTTCTATAAAGATTTACAGCCTTGGAAACCCAATGGAGGTCACTATGAGTTGGAATCAGTTCAATGGCAGTGAATGAGTGGCATATAATGGCATCCAGTTCCAGAAGTGACACAAAACTTCCTTGTCCTATTCCAGTCTCAAACATTATGACCGTTCACTGGGGCCAACCCTCTTGTTCCAGACATCCTCGATGGATAGTTGTCTTGTTTATAAAAACTTCTGAGAAATTGCCAGGATCCATTCCTTTCTCTATCGCTTCTGGAGAAGTTAAAATCTGATGCCAGAATTGACTAAACCTTATCCTCTTTTTAGAGTTGTACTTGTCCAAGAAGGTTTTATAGGATGTCTTTGAATAAGATGAAGATGTGAAGGGGTTTTCCAGAGATTTTCAGGAAAGAATCCTGTACTTGGAAGGCAGTTTGGGACCCGAAGATGCCAAAAGGGAAAAGAAATCTCTTTGCCTTATAAGTTGTTTCCAAAAACTCGGTTTCCAGAATGTGTATAAAATGACCATGTTCTGGGAGTTAGGGCAGTCCTGGAGTACATGGTGGTCTCAGGAGGGCTGAGTAAGGGTTCTGGTGAGACACATTTATATTTGTTGAAGGGAAGGGATGAGGGGGTGAAGACACTTTTATGTGTATTGAATTCTGGAAGAACACGAGTGAATGGCATTGCTTTGAGAAGCAGATAAACAGTGGAATCATGGGAACATCTAAAGACATGCAGTTCATTCATTCACTTAAAAATATGTGATAAACACCTACCTTGCACCAGGCACTTACTGAGCAATGGGATATCCACAGTGAACAAGACTGTCACACTCTCTGCCTTCTTAGAGCTGAAAGTCTAATAGGGGAAAGAGCCATTACAAGTAATTTGTAGGGTGATACTGAAGTACAGAAGAGTCCCTGGATGGCACAAACGGTTAAGCACTCAACTACTAATTGAAATGTTGGTGGTTCAAACCCACCCAGAGGTTCCTCAAAAGAAAGGCCTGGAGATCTGACTCGGAAAGGCCACAGCCTTGAAAACCCTGTGGAGCGTAGTTCTGCTCTGACACAGATTGGGTTGCCATGAATCAGAATCTACTCTATGGCAACTGGCTTGGTTAGTTTGGTTTGTGGAAGTAGGGAGTGCTGTGAGAGCATAGGAAAGGGGGCCCTAACCTATTCAGAGGGAGAAGGGATGCCCCAAGGGTCAAGGAAGGCTTCTCTGAAGAGTAGACATTTAGGTTAAGACATTAGTCAGGAGAAAAGGGTAGGGAGTGAAGTTTGAAGGGGGAGTCTTTCAGGCAGAGAAATAAGATGTGTCATGAATCTGAGGTGGGAAAGAGCACGAAACATTTGAGGAACAAGAACAAGCCCAGGACAACTGGCCTGGAAAAAAATGAGGCTCAGATGAAAGCAGGAGCCACGTTAGGCAGGACGACACGGAAGGAATTTGAGGCTTAACCTAAGGACAATATTCCTATTGTCTAATATGTTCAGAGTTTTGTCTTCAAAGTCACTGTATTCTGGGAGGAGAATGGCTTGGAGAAGAGCAAGAGAGGAGGAAGGGATGCCAATGGGCTAAAATTAAAAAAAAAAAAAAAATTGCTGTGAAGTCAGTTCTAACTCACAGCAACCTTATGGAACAGAATAGAACTGCCCTATGGTATTTTCAAGGCTGTAGTCTTTACAGAAGCAGATTGCCACATTATTCTCCTGCAGAGTGGCTGGTGAATTTGAACTGGGCATCTCTCAGTTAGCAGCCAAGTGTTTAGCCACTGTGCCACCAGTTACTAAGTGGTTTAAAAAAAAAAAAAAAGTGGATCAGGGTGAGAGTAATGGGATAGAAATGAAGGGGGTTTAAGGGCTACTTAGAAGGCAGAAACAGAATTTGGTGAAGGATTGGATAAGGATTAAAGAGCAAGGGAGAGTCAAAGACACCTCGTAGGCTTCTGGCCTGAGCAAAAACATACACTTCAAGATGGTAGAGAATGGAGTGGAGAGGTGTTTAGATGTTCATTTAGTCATTTAAATATAATGATTTCTTAGTATTAACTTCTTAGCAAGAGTTCAATAAATGTGGGTGCTGAGGTGAGTAGACAGATGAGTAAAAGACTATCCCTGCCCTGGAGGGGAGCAAGGCTAATAGGCAAAGTAAACATATGCCCAGATAAATACAATGTGGTAGAATCGAATAATCAAAAATAGCCCAGCTTCTTGGCCAAGTAATTCTACTCTTCGATGTTTATCCAAAGGAAATAATTCAAAGCAAAACAATTAATCCATTTCAATGCAACAAGCCCTTTATTGAGTTGACCAACTGCTCACAGTATACCAGGTACCATTTGACCGTGAAGAATCAGAAATGAATAAAGAACAATTCTTGACCTCAAGGGGTTCACAGTCCATTGGGAAAGATAAGACAAGCATAAAGTAACCATCCTATGAAGCAGATAATTTCTTTATGCGTTCCATTTCCTTTTTGACAACTTCCAATTTTCCTAGATTCATACTTCGTACATTCCATGTTCCGATGATTAATGGATGTCTG